AGTACCTGGGCTGGGGGTCCTCTGTAGACTCCTGCTGTTAGTATCTGGGGGCGGGGTCCTCTGTAGACTCCTGCTGTTAGTACCTGGGGGCGGGGTCCTCTGTAGACTCCTGCAGTTAATACCTGGGGGCGGGGTCCTCTGTAGACTCCTGTTGTTAGTACCTGGGGCGGGGTCCTCTGTAGACTCCTGTTGTTAGTACCTGGGGGCGGGGTCCTCTGTAGACTCCTGCTGTTAGTACCTGGGCTGGGGGTCCTCTGTAGACTCCTGCTGTTAGTACCTGGGCTGTGGGTCCTCTGTAGACTCCTGCTGTTAGTACCTGGGGGCGGGGTCCTCTGTAGACTCCTGCTGTTAGTACCTGGGGGCGGGGTCCTCTGTAGACTCCTGCTGTTAGTACCTGGGGCGGGGTCCTCTGTAGACTCCTGCGGTTAGTACCTGGGGGCGGGGTCCTCTGTAGACTCCTGCTGTTAGTACCTGGGCTGGGGGTCCTCTGTAGACTCCTGCTGTTAGTACCTGGGCTGGGGGTCCTCTGTAGACTCCTGCTGTTAGTACCTGGGGGCGGGGTCCTCTGTAGACTCCTGCGGTTAATACCTGGGGGCGGGGTCCTCTGTAGACTCCTGCTGTTAATACCTGGGGGCGGGGTCCTCTGTAGACTCCTGCTGTTAGTACCTGGGCTGGGGGTCCTCTGTAGACTCCTGCTGTTAGTACCTGGGGGCGGGGTCCTCTGTAGACTCCTGCTGTTAGTACCTGGGGGCGGGGTCCTCTGTAGACTCCTGCGGTTAGTACCTGGGGGCGGGGTCCTCTGTAGACTCCTGCTGTTAGTACCTGGGCTGGGGGTCCTCTGTAGACTCCTGCTGTTAGTACCTGGGGGCGGGGTCCTCTGTAGACTCCTGCTGTTAGTACCTGGGCTGGGGGTCCTCTGTAGACTCCTGCGGTTAATACCTGGGGGCGGGGTCCTCTGTAGACTCCTGCTGTTAGTACCTGGGCTGGGGGTCCTCTGTAGACTCCTGCTGTTAGTACCTGGGCTGGGGGTCCTCTGTAGACTCCTGTTGTTAGTACCTGGGGGCGGGGTCCTCTGTAGACTCCTGCTGTTAGTACCTGGGCTGGGGGTCCTCTGTAGACTCCTGTTGTTAGTACCTGGGGCGGGGTCCTCTGTAGACTCCTGCTGTTAATACCTGGGCTGGGGGTCCTCTGTAGACTCCTGCGGTTAATACCTGGGGGCGGGGTCCTCTGTAGACTCCTGCTGTTAGTACCTGGGGGCGGGGTCCTCTGTAGACTCCTGCGGTTAATACCTGGGGCGGGGTCCTCTGTAGACTCCTGCTGTTAGTACCTGGGGCGGGGTCCTCTGTAGACTCCTGCTGTTAGTACCTGGGCTGGGGGTCCTCTGTAGACTCCTGCGGTTAATACCTGGGGGCGGGGTCCTCTGTAGACTCCTGCTGTTAGTACCTGGGGGCGGGGTCCTCTGTAGACTCCTGCTGTTAGTACCTGGGCTGGGGGTCCTCTGTAGACTCCTGCTGTTAGTACCTGGGCTGGGGGTCCTCTGTAGACTCCTGTTGTTAGTACATGGGGGCGGGGTCCTCTGTAGACTCCTGCTGTTAGTACCTGGGCTGGGGGTCCTCTGTAGACTCCTGCTGTTAGTACCTGGGCTGGGGGTCCTCTGTAGACTCCTCCTGTTAGTACCTGGGCTGGGGGTCCTCTGTAGACTCCTGCTGTTAGTACCTGGGGGCGGGGTCCTCTGTAGACTCCTGCTGTTAGTACCTGGGCTGGGGGTCCTCTGTAGACTCCTGCTGTTAGTACCTGGGCTGGGGGTCCTCTGTAGACTCCTCCTGTTAGTACCTGGGCTGGGGGTCCTCTGTAGACTCCTGCTGTTAGTACCTGGGGGCGGGGTCCTCTGTAGACTCCTGCTGTTAGTACCTGGGGGCGGGGTCCTCTGTAGACTCCTGCGGTTAATACCTGGGGGCGGGGTCCTCTGTAGACTCCTGCGGTTAGTACCTGGGCTGGGGGTCCTCTGTAGACTCCTGCTGTTAGTACCTGGGGGCGGGGTCCTCTGTAGACTCCTGCTGTTAGTACCTGGGCTGGGGGTCCTCTGTAGACTCCTGCTGTTAGTACCTGGGCTGGGGGTCCTCTGTAGACTCCTGCTGTTAGTACCTGGGCTGGGGGTCCTCTGTAGACTCCTGCGGTTAATACCTGGGGGCGGGGTCCTCTGTAGACTCCTGCGGTTAGTACCTGGGCTGGGGGTCCTCTGTAGACTCCTCCTGTTAGTACCTGGGCTGGGGGTCCTCTGTAGACTCCTGCTGTTAGTACCTGGGGGCGGGGTCCTCTGTAGACTCCTGCGGTTAATACCTGGGGGCGGGGTCCTCTGTAGACTCCTGCTGTTAGTACCTGGGCTGGGGTCCTCTGTAGACTCCTGCTGTTAGTACCTGGGCTGGGGGTCCTCTGTAGACTCCTGTTGTTAGTACCTGGGGGCGGGGTCCTCTGTAGACTCCTGCTGTTAGTACCTGGGCTGGGGGTCCTCTGTAGACTCCTGCTGTTAGTACCTGGGCTGGGGGTCCTCTGTAGACTCCTGTTGTTAGTACCTGGGGGCGGGGTCCTCTGTAGACTCCTGCTGTTAGTACCTGGGCTGGGGGTCCTCTGTAGACTCCTGTTGTTAGTACCTGGGGGCGGGGTCCTCTGTAGACTCCTGCTGTTAATACCTGGGCTGGGGGTCCTCTGTAGACTCCTGCGGTTAATACCTGGGGGCGGGGTCCTCTGTAGACTCCTGCTGTTAGTACCTGGGGGCGGGGTCCTCTGTAGACTCCTGCGGTTAATACCTGGGGGCGGGGTCCTCTGTAGACTCCTGCTGTTAGTACCTGGGCTGGGGGTCCTCTGTAGACTCCTGTTGTTAATACCTGGGGGCGGGGTCCTCTGTAGACTCCTGCTGTTAGTACCTGGGGCGGGGTCCTCTGTAGACTCCTGCTGTTAGTACCTGGGCTGGGGGTCCTCTGTAGACTCCTGCTGTTAGTACCTGGGGGTGGGGTCCTCTGTAGACTCCTGCTGTTAGTACCTGGGCTGGGGGTCCTCTGTAGACTCCTGCGGTTAATACCTGGGGGCGGGGTCCTCTGTAGACTCCTGTTGTTAGTACCTGGGGGCGGGGTCCTCTGTAGACTCCTGTTGTTAGTACCTGGGCTGGGGGTCCTCTGTAGACTCCTGCTGTTAGTACCTGGGGGCGGGGTCCTCTGTAGACTCCTGCGGTTAATACCTGGGGGCGGGGTCCTCTGTAGACTCCTGCTGTTAGTACCTGGGCTGGGGGTCCTCTGTAGACTCCTGTTGTTAATACCTGGGGGCGGGGTCCTCTGTAGACTCCTGCTGTTAGTACCTGGGGGCGGGGTCCTCTGTAGACTCCTGCTGTTAGTACCTGGGGGCGGGGTCCTCTGTAGACTCCTGCTGTTAGTACCTGGGCTGGGGGTCCTCTGTAGACTCCTGCTGTTAGTACCTGGGCTGGGGGTCCTCTGTAGACTCCTGCTGTTAGTACCTGGGCTGGGGGTCCTCTGTAGACTCCTGTTGTTAGTACCTGGGGGCGGGGTCCTCTGTAGACTCCTGCTGTTAATACCTGGGGGCGGGGTCCTCTGTAGACTCCTGCGGTTAATACCTGGGCTGGGGGTCCTCTGTAGACTCCTGTTGTTAGTACCTGGGGGCGGGGTCCTCTCTAGACTCCTGCTGTTAATACCTGGGGGCGGGGTCCTCTGTAGACTCCTGCGGTTAATACCTGGGGGCGGGGTCCTCTGTAGACTCCTGCTGTTAGTACCTGGGGGCGGGGTCCTCTGTAGACTCCTGTTGTTAATACCTGGGGGCGGGGTCCTCTGTAGACTCCTGCTGTTAGTACCTGGGAGTCGATTTTTCCTACCAACGTTGCTCATCTCCTCTCTCTGCTTTCATAGCTCCGGGGAAAGATGTGAGCACAGACCCTCAAGGTTCACTCTCCGCTGGCATCTATTAACCTTGCTTGGTATTTCTCAGTCACGAGGCCTGTGGATCCTCGAGCTTTGAACACAGCTTTAGCAGACTCTCCTGGCCTTAGCGTTACTGCTCGCTCCAGTGTCTCTCGTGCTGGAGCTTCCTCGGAGTGTTTCTTAGGTGTGTAAACACCATCTCCGCAGCAGTTCTGGGCATCTCTCTAAGACCCGTGCTCGCCGGGGAGCTAAGTTTTGAGGGGAGCCGACCCCAGCCCCGTAGAAGCCTGTGTAGCCTGCTTCCTGTTTGTGGTGCTTTGGATATGTGAACACTTGGTCCCCACACTGGCGAAGCTCGGAAAGGTTGTGGAGCCTTCAGAAGTTCTTGCTAGAGGAAGTACATCACCGGGAGGAGGGCTTTGAGGGAATCTAGTCTCGCCTTACTTTCTGCTCTCTTCTGCCTCGAGTTTACCTTTGAAGAGGCCAGCTCTCAACGTCCTTCTCTGGCCACCACCTGTCACCTGCTGCTGTGCCTTCCCACCACCATGACGGACTCTAGTCCCCCTGGAACTATAAACTTCCAATGCACTCTTTCCAACAACAAAATGACCAGCACCCTGCTGCTGTGATAAACACCACACCATGATCAAAAGCAGTTTGGAGAGGAAAGGGTTTATTTTAGTTTACAGCTTCCATCATCAATGGAAGTCAGGGCAATACCTCAAGGTGGCAGCTGAAGCAGGGACCACGGAGGAACATTCCTTACTGGCTTGCTTCTAGGCTTACGTTCAGTTACCTTCCTTATGTAATCCAGGGCTGCCTGACTGCGGATGTTACTGCCCGCAGTTGGCTTGGTACCCAGCATCACTTAGCCGTCAAAAAATAGCCCCACCCAGACACACCCACAGGCCAGCCAGACAGAGTCGATCCCTCTGCTGAAGTCCCCTCTTCCTAAGTGTGCCCAACTGTCAACCAAGGCTAACTATCACAAGCGACCCCCCCCACATCTGTAAGTCCTCACATCTTTGGATGACCCCACGCCCATTCGTCCACAGGCAGAGAGAAACTACATACCGCTCTGTTGGAAAAGTTAGCGAACTTCTCAACCAGCACCTGCTGGATCATGTCTGGTTCAGAGATGGTGACATACATCCGACGACCAAGATAGTACCTAGGAAGGATCAAATAATTTGCTTTTAAAATATGGCACATTTACTCATTTCTTCTACCCTTGACCCCGCCAAAAAAAAAAAAAAAACTCGCAGCGGTTTAGAATGCCGTTGGCGGCGCACGCCTTTAATCCCAGCACTCGGGAGGCAGAGGCAGGCGGATCTCTGTGAGTTCGAGGCCAGCCTGGTCTACAGAGTGAGTTCCGGGACAGCCTCCAAAGCCACAGAGAAATCCTGTCTCGAAAAAACCAAAAAAAAAAAAAAAAAAAAAAAAAACCAAAACAAAAAAACAAAAAAACAAAAAAAAAAAAAGAATGTAGTCTGAACAGTAAGTGGGAATAAAAACATAGAGATGAGAGAGAATAGACTCCAATGGTGAGCAATAGTAGATTTGTGATGAAGTGTCACCAAGGCACTTCCCGTCAGTCAACACTTACAAACTGCCACCTTGTCCCAGAACTGGAAATTTAGATAAACACAGTCCCTGCCTCAGGCAGCTTATGGGCTGAGAGGAAAGACAGGTCCGTAAGTGTCAATGCCCTGACAAGGGTCCTGAGATCCAGCAGTAAATGCGGGGAGAAGGCAGGGCTTTCCAAACATGAGAGGCTGGCATTTTAGAAGGGAAACATTTGTACTAATTCTGCACTGAGTGAATACGCAGAAGCCAGAGAGAACACGGGAATGATTGGCCTTGCGTCGGAAGGCTGGGCTTTGTAAGGGGAGTTCAGCAGATACTCACAGCATCCGGGCATGGAGGACAGCCTCAGCCAGGCACCTGCTGCTGGTGAACTCTGGCCAGAGGAAGTGCTTGCACACATGGTTTGTCTTCACAAAAGGACTGAGGACCAAAACCACCAAGACCCAGGGCTCAGCCCGCTTGGGTGAGTGGCTGGAGACTAACTGTGCCTGGCAAAGCGGATTAACAGTGGGGCCACAGGCCAGGCATGTTTCCAGTGGACGAGCTGACACATTCCTGGGTGTAACTGGCTGGCTGGCTGGTGTGGCCTGTTCGCAGCAGCGGGGGTCAGATTTTAAAAGGGAAATCACATTTTAAAGGCAGCTGAGTTTGTGCGAGCATTCCAACTCAGGTTTCCACAAGCCAAAAGGATGCTCATCTAGTAAAGCAAATAAGGGGGGAAAATAAGAAGGGGCTGGGGAGATGACCCAAATGGCTAAGTGTCTGCCACACAAGATGCGGACCCGAGTTCAGATCCCCAGCACCCACGTAGAGAAAGATGGGTGTGACCATGTGCTTCTAGGTCCCCAGGGCTGGGACAGTGTCATGGAGACGGTGGGTTCCTAGCATCGCTGGGCCAGTCAGCCTGTGAGCCCCAGGTTCAGTGAGACAGCTTGTCTCAAAAACTGAAGTGGAGCATGACTGAAGGTGACACCCAACGTTGGCTTTTTGGTCTCCACATCATGCACACACATGTGCACCCACATGTGCACAATACACACTTTTCATTAATTAGATTTTTCGAGACAGGGCTTCTCTGTGTAGCTTTGTAGACCAGGCTGGCCTTGAACTCACAGAGATCTGCCTACCTCTGCCTCCCGAGTGCTGGGTTTAAAGGTGTGTGCTACTATTGCCTGCTACACTTTTTAAGACAAAAGATTTATCTGGCATCCATTAGGCACTCAGAAAATATTCAACCAAGTGATCATATTTTCCAAAATTGTTAGGGAAGTCTTTGGACCACAGGAATTCAACAGATGTGGTACAAGGAAAGAAAGGCCACCAACTAGTTTCTTACTGTTTTTAACCAACAGAACACTGAAAATAATGGGGCATGGCCATCAGCCAACGTTTTTATAAACTCTGTGGCAGGTGTCATGGAGTCCTCTGAGGACCAGCAAGAACCAGGCTACAGATGCTCAACCAAGAAGAATGGACACTTACAGGACTCTGTCCACATTGAGAAGGGGTTGAGTTCCTGCCTTGCCTCCACCCAGAGCAGGGCTTCTCAGACTTAGTGTGCTGTAAACTACCTTCATCTGAAGGCATGCTAGATAAAAAAAAATGCTCCAGTCTGAAAAAAAAGACTAAGTTAAAAATTCAAGAAGCCAAATGAACCTCAAATAAGGTAAACACAAAGAAACATACACCAAGACACGTCACAATCAAGCTTCCGGAAGACAAATGGCAAAAGAAAGAACAAAAATGTTTAAGATGGCTCCTTGTAGGGTTATTAATACAAAGGAGAGCAGGTTCTCATCAGAAATCAAGGAGACTGAGATTCACAAGGTAGCTTGGCAGGTAAGAGCACTGTGCAAACCTGAGGACCTGAGTTGAGATCCCCAGAGCCCAGGTGCAGTAGAGTGCTTCTATAACCCTGGTGTGTGGAGGCAGGAGGATGGGAGGCTTAGCTCTGTGGGAGACCCTGTCCTAAGGGAAGGAGGTGGAGAATGACAGCAGAACACTATGATCAACACACAAAGCAGGAAGGGAAAGGTAGCTAGGGGGTAGGGGAGAGAGAGGGGGGAAGGGAGGGAGGGAGAGAGGGGGGAGGGAAGGAGGGGGAGGGAGGGAGGGAGGAGGGAGGGGGGAGGGAGGAGGGAGGAGGGAGGGAGGGAGAGAAAGACAGAGAGAGAGAGAGAGAGAGAGAGAGAGAGAGAGAGAGAGAGAGAGAGAGAGAGAGAGAGAGAGAATGGAAACTAGGGGACTGGAGAGATGACTCTCCAGTTCTGTTTACTGCTGAACTTGAGTGAAAATAATAATTCCCAGGACCCATGGTGGGGTGGGGGACTTGGGCATGACAGCACATGCCTGTAGTCCTAACACTGGAGAGGCGGAGATGGGGGAACCCTTGGGCCTTGCTTGCAACCCAATCCTGCCAAATGGTGAACTCCAATTTGAAGGACAAAGACTCTTTTCAAAATACAAAGTTGAGAGAGATAGACGAAGATATCCAACACTGATCTCTGACTTCAATGCACATGTGTACACATGCACAAGCATGTACATATACACAGGCCAAAATCCTGGAGGTCAGAAGGAACTGGCATGTTTTAGCTGCTGCAGGCAAGAATTTTCCAGTGCATATCTGGTGAATGTATCTTCCAGGTTAAAAATTGCATTTTTAAGAAGAGCAACTAAGAGAATTTATCACTAATAGATCTGCCCTCAAAGGAAGGTTAAAGGAGATTCTCCACTGAGAAATGGAATGATAACAGAAGAAACTTCATAAAACAAAGACCACAGGATGGGTGAAACATAGGCGGCCATTCCTCACATACTTCTTAAAGTATCCTGGGTGGATGAAGCAAGAGCTAAGATCTCATCAACCGTGATCAACACGCCTGGAGGAAAAGCCAGAGACAGCTACATTCGGGAGGCAAACCCATGTGGAAGGTTTCTACACGTCACTCAGAGGGTAAGGCAGCCATACTCACAGACCAAGATAGATTATGTAGGTATGTGTATGCAACTACTAAGAACATGACACAAATGATAGGAACATTTTAATGAGTCAAAAATAGAGTGTGTGATGGCCCAACCGTTAGGTACACTCGTCTCTCTTGGTTCCCAGAATCCACTTGGCAGCTCCCATCCACCTGTAAGTGTCCAGAGGATCTGATGACCTCCTATGGCCTGCACAGACTCCCACACATATGCACACACATTAGACACAGAAAGAAGAACAGCAAGTAGGGAACAGAGGACAGAAAGAGAGTATATGTGAAAATGCAGTCCTGGAGCCCATTGCTTCTCATGCTGATAAAAATACTAACAAAAGAAAAACATGGTAGCAGTCTGAACAGCTCTGTGATCACAAAAATGGAACTCATAATTTTAAATTCGTTCTCATCCAAACTACCACAGTAAGTATAATTTTAGAAGTTTGGGGAAACCCCCCGTAGAACCAACTAGGGATGGAGCCCAGTGATAGAACATTTTGCTAGCTCGTGAGGTCCCAGATTCATTTCCCATCATTGCAAAACAAACAAACCAACAATAACACACACACACACACACACACACACACACACACACACTATTAATGCAAGAAGGAGAACCCCTAAGTAAATGCAGAGACAAACCATGCTCATAGGTTGGAAGACATGACACAGGTACAATCCTACTTAAACTGGTATGCAGACATGTTGTATTTCCATTCAAAATCCTTCTAAGAATTAATAAAAGCATAGACAAACTTACTTAAAAGCATAGACAAATTTTATGGGAAGACAAAAGATATAGAATAACTGATTTTTTTTTCTTGAAGAACGAAGCAGGAGAAATGAGTTTGCCAGAAACTTGACTGTAGCAGTTGAAACTATGATGCTGGCAGAGAGAGACAGATACATACGTGTATCTTCTCCTCTCTCCCTCCCTCCCTCCCTCCCTCCCTCCCTCCCTCCCTCCCTCCCTCCCTCCCTCCCTCCCTCTCTCTCTCTCTCATATGTGCCCATATACTTGGATAAGATCTGAATGATCTCTATATGTACCCATATACTTGGATAAGATCTGAATGATCTCTGTACATGATCTGGGTTCACCTGCTGGTTTTGCTAACATGCTGCAGTTTTACCTACGGGTGGCGTAGATCACCATGGGGTAAACTAGGTAAAGAAGACACTGAACCTCCCTGTGCATTTTTTGCTTATTTGTTTGCAAATCCCTGTGCATCTATAATTATTTCAAGCTAAGGTAGCATTTTACAAGTCATTCGGGAAGTTAACAGAGCTTAAAGACATAGGCCCGTTCCCAGCTGATCCTGTTCTACCAGGCTTGGGCGGGCCCTAGAAACCTAAATAAGAACTAGTTCTCAGATTCTGATGCTACAAGATGGGGCCACCCTCCTAGGGCAGTGGCTCAGAGCCTCAGCAGCTGGCCAAAGCCAAAAGGGGAGCACTCAAGGAAGGATGGTCCCACCCAGGCCCACCAGGCCCTAGTCTCAGGCAGGGGTGGGACCAGTCACCGATAATTTTAACAAGCTCCCAGGGGATTCTGGTGTGGTTGACATCAGGCCCCACCTTACAAATCTTGATCTCTGTCTGAGCAGAGGGCACACCCATTTTCATTTCCTCAAATACTTAGACGGTGGGAGGCACGTATATTTTGGCAAGATATTTGTATTGAGTTTCTTATGATCAAAATAATTTTGTACACCCTCTGGATTTTTTTTTAAAAAGCAAAATAATACTTGTGTATTCTGGTGGAAGGATCTGCCACGGGAGTCTTTCTGTATTTTTCTAGTAATATTACTAATGCTAAAACCAATTTTGCAACAATTCCTTTCGAATTGCCTCAGAGCTGCTTTATGAACCTCGTGAGGAAACTGGCCCCATTTTACATGTAAATTGTGTAATCTTGTGAATTTATGCTTATAAAAATGCTCATCTGTAGTTTGAGGAGCTCCTGGCAAGATCTTAAACAGGAAAAATGTATTTGACATACACAGGTGTGGCTTTCCTTCCTACAGCCTGGGATGGCTCTGCCGTGTGTGTCTGCCGTGTGTGTCTGCCCACCTCTTGTCTTTGGGAAGCTAGTCTCCAGTCCCATGTAGCTCTGGAGGCAAGGTTAATTACAGAACAACACCCCTCAGCTCATGGGATGGATTTAATCATCCAGACATGGCCAAGCATAGCATCCCATCCTTGGTAATTGGTCCAAGGGTTGCACACATGATCCGGCATGCACTGGGATTTTTCCACAGTGCATGAAATGTCACTTCCTCCTGGAGCGCCTACTCTGTGGTCTAATATGTGAATTTGGGGCTGTGGGGATCGTTTTACTTCCACACGGAGGGAACCCTATCTGCAGAAGGAACTGAGGGATACCCACAGAGATTTAAGATACCAGAGAGAGTCTGTCTAGGAAGCACTACCAAGTCCCAGCCTCTGTGCCTTGAATCCCTTCACTGGATCCCACAGGCTTAAAGTGTGTTAGTTTGACTTGGGTTTCTATCATATATAATCCGCAGACCTCAACTAGTACTGTGCTGCTGTGTCTTGTCTCCAGGAGACTTCCTTCTAAAAAAAAAAAAAAAGAAAATCTCTGTCTTATTTTTTTAATATGTACTTTGGTTTAAATGTTTCTACCAAAATCTTTGCTGTAATTTAATCTCCACTGGGAGCCCTCAGAGGCGTGTCCAAGTGGTATCTTCAGGGATGAATTAGGCCACAGAGGCTCAGCCTCAGAATGGATGGATTGATGATATGTCGCCCGACCTGTTAAAAGGACACTTTGGCACCATTTCCAGGACGCCCTCTTTTCTGAGTTCGAGGCCAGCCTCCAAAACAATACAGAGAAACCCTGCCTCGAAAAACCAAAAACAACAAAAGAACAAAAACAAAACAAGCAAAATAAACAAACAAACATGAGGCTCTGATCAGTTGCAGCTCATCAAGTCCCGGTCTCCCTGCTTCCAGAACTGTGAGTTGGAGAAACCTTTCTTCTGTATAAGTCTTTCAGTCTGAAGTGTTTTGTGATAGCAAAAGAAAATAGGCCAAATTGGTATGTATGTTCCTGCTTCCTGCTTCCTAAGGAGCTCTCATACAGTATGCCTTGGAGCTCGGCAGGCGGGGTCTGAACTTATACTCATGTCACTGTCACCTGTTACAGGGGACAGTTTTAGACACAAACTCCTCAGACCCCCTATGCCACAGCTGAAACATGGAAGTGAAATCCAGGCAGTCTTAATTCACTGTGGCTTTAAGTCCTACCAACCCTGTGAGTTTAGAGGGAAATGAAATTACAGTTCTTCAAGTCCAGCCAATAGGATGCAAAGAAAGATCCCAAACCACGAAACAGGTCAGTGATATGTGGCTGGGTCATGAGTCCTTCTCAGAAACTTCGTGGTGACCATCACAAGCATCAGTGCTTGCTTCCGGACACACTCTGAGCTCTTCATGGCCTCTACTGCAGCAGGTGAGTAAGGGGAAGTCATTCTACTCACTTCTGGAAGAGGAAACCAACACTTGTCCAGGACCGTCTGAACCCTGTCTCGGAGCTGTCCTTCTCCGAGATGTCTAACTTTCCCTTCCCTCCCAGGCTGGCCTGGTCTGTGAAATCCAGTGCAAGCAGATGTGCGGAGGGCCCAGGCAAGCTCCAGCCACACTGTCTGTATCCTCCCCGCCCCCAGCAGACTGTTGGGAGCAGAGTCTTGCTTAATGGACCAAAAACCCCCTTCCAGCCTAATTAAGGAGGTGAGGTCCTGCTCCCCGCTAATCCAAGTTGCATGCTGACTACTGTAGGGGCAAGAAATTCATAACTGATTATTCATTTATATTTATTTATGCACATAATAATTTGCTTATCCAACCCCAAAGCACCTGGTTGAAGAGAAAAATGTAGGCGAACCAGGGAAGTATTGTGCGGTTAAAAATAACACTTGTTTGACTTGCTTAATTAGCGGTTTTCTTTTCTTCCTTTACAAAAAAAAAAAAAAAAAAAACAAACCAAAACCCAAAACTGACCAGTATAACCAACATAGCACAGCTGCCTTCTTTCTGGCAACCATGCCAAACGAGACTATTGGCGTTAGCCTAGGGGCCAACTGACTCTGTTCCAGAAGGCCCCTGGCAGGGGTGCCAAAACTCTAGGGCCATTCACGGGTGGATGACCACTCACAATCACACAGAAAGATCCAGGCTCCACCTCTTGATAGGGGTGCACCTTGTAAAAACAGCGTTGTGGTCCTGCTAGTAAAGAATAGTCAATCCCAGTATTAATTAGCACATACAAGAAGTATTTATTGAGCTCATACTCTGTCAGGCATCCGGCTGACACAGGCTGACAAGTCTGGACATGTATCTGAAGCAGGGAGTTGTGGGTACTTCTCCTTTTCATGTCCCTTATTTCTTAAACGTGTCAGCATTTTGCAGTTAGTGTGTGACTTGAAGTAGGAAGGGGATGCCACTAAGTTGGCCTCCTGAGGCTGTCAAGGTCAAGGTGAGGCTGACAGTGCTGTGTCTGTGGCGCCGGAGTCTTGGGGACTCAGTTCCAGGCCTTGTTTGCAACTAATATCTGTGTCACCGTGGACGGATCATGTCCATGGTGAGCCTGCTTCTTTGATAAAAGAGGCCACGGTGAAGGTCAGTGGGAAGTCCCTCAGCACTGAAGCTGTGTGTGGGCGTGGCTAGTGGGCGGTGACTGCCCCCATCTATGAGAAGTGAGCTCCTAGGTGCCCGCGGGGGCACTGGGAGGTTCCTGATGAAAGCCTGGCACCCCCACATCAGCAGAAGGGCTATGAGCACATGCGTGGTTGATGGGACCTTCTGTGCACCACTAGACATCAGGCTTCTGAAAGGCTCTGTGCCTCGGTAACAGCCTCACTTCCCGTCAGTAGGAGATGCCACACGGCCTCACACCTCACCTTTGGCTGGATATGGAAGCGTCAGAAAGCTCCACGGGGAAAGGCGGCCATGTGTTCTGGCAAGACTGTGATGGATGGCCTGGACTCACAAATTCCACGAAGTTCAGAGAACGTTAACTTGAGTTTGCGGTTCCTGAACATTTGGCTTAAGCAGCTCCTCCGGGGCTAGCGGCAGCTCCCCGGCAGTCAGCTCCTGAGGTAATGGCAGCTCCTGGGATAGCTGCTCCTCCTATGGCAGCCCCCACTATGCTACAGAGACGCTGTAGTTCCCATATTGTTAGTTCTAACCTCTCATGCCAACTGTGTTTGGGCCTTGCCACTTCTACTTAGACTATTGCAGGGCTCTGGTGGGGAGGGGGGATCTGTATCTCCAAAGCCAATCCCCATTAAGGTCAAAGCTTCCTTTTGGGGACAGGGGCAACTATGTGACCTCACTCACTGTGAGTCCTGATGGGTTTCTATTGTTTGAAGCAAGCTCTAGTGTTTTGACCTCTAGCCGCTGGCCCTTCTGCTTTCCTACCAAAGCTCATGGATTCCTTACTGACTTAATAATCTTATAGCATGTCACAGCCCAAAAGAATTACTTAACACACTCCTGCTCTTGAGTAGCAAAGTCCACACAGTAAGTACTCTAACAACTCAGTGAACACGGATTCAATGGACACACACGATTGGAAGGAAGCAGTTCTTGGAGAGACCAATAGATGGCGCTGTATTTTTTCAATAAATGCTTACAGTATTTAAGGAGGACCCTATGTATTAATTGTGGTGCCCTGGGGTGTCTCAGCACACAGTGTGAGAATTACAGCCCCTCACCCTTGTTACGTGAAAGACGTTTGTGGGTTCCTAAATGTGCAGTCTTTCTCCAGATCCCTTTGCTCTGTGTATATTTTCCATCCAGGCCCTCAGCCCACCCACCCTGTTCTTGGAGCCCCCACTCTTGCGGCTGACTTAAAAAAAAAGCTACTTATTACCTCTTTGAGAATTCCATGTATTACATTTTGATCATACCCACCCCCAACCCCCCAACTCCTCCCAGGCCCACCCCCTCCTTGCCCCTTCCCAGCTTCATGTCCTGGTCTTTTTAAATGGCCCTCTTAAGTCTAATTCGTGCTACGCACTGGAATGTGGCCAACCTACTAGGGACATGGCCTTAAGGAAGACTGATCCTCCCTCCGTGGGAAGTCATCAGCTGCCGACAGTTTGTTACGGAGGGTTTGGTCTTGTGCGTGTCATGTACAGGCAATATCGGCTGTGAGCTCATGAGCACTGCGGTCCTCTTACACCCACAAGATGCTGTCCCTCTCTAGTGCCCCCTGGCCCCTGGCTCTTAAAGTCTGTCCGATACCTCTTCTTTGGTGGTCCCTGAGCCTTGGGTGTGGGTGAGGCCGACAGAGATACCCACTTGTTCTCTACTCTGTGACTTTGTGTGTTAATCACTATCCGCAGCAGGAAAGCTCTCCGGCAAGGTTTAAAGGCTGCACCAAACTAGAGAGCTTCACGCTTAGAATGCAATTTAAAGCCACGCCTCTTTAGGTAGAATGACAGTAGAAGGTTCACGCTGGAGCCTGTGGGCTCCCCAACCATGGCTTCTGGATCAGAGTTACAGTGCCAGGCATGCATTCCATCCTGTGGCAGAGGCCTTTAATCCAATAGCAAGTGGGTAGTTACCTCCATAACGTGTGTACCACCGCTGCACCCACAGGCATGTCTTGGCATGCTGGTCATCATTGCACTTCACAGGGTTTGTGGTTGGAAGGATTGATAATCACCCCACCCCTCCCAGCAACCTGCATAGCACCTCCCAGCACCCTGAGAGCTAGCCTGCAGGGAAGAGCCTTCCTAGTTAGCACTGAGGTCATTTCTCCATGTCCCGTGACCAAAGTATATAGCTATAACTGCCGAAGCTCTTGTCAGTCAGAGAATTCCTCTATTGGTCTCTATCACGCCACATCACACTAATACCACACCTATTGGCTCCTCACGGCTCTGCAAGTTCTCGGAGGACAGACCCTCGCCTTATTTTTCTTCCGGAATCCCCAAGAAGCCGGCAGAAGTGCAGGTCCATAGAGGAGGTCTGAGGATGGTTTGGGGAGGTCCTTCAGGAAATCATGTTGTCTCTCTGGTGTCCACATTCCCGCCTCTGAAGGACCCAGGGAAGACTCAATACTGGCGACCTTTATTCACCTTTATCCTCCACCCCTGAGGCCACACAGCCCAGATGGCTCTCTAACGCTTGGGGACACCCTTTCTGCAGACCCCCTGACTGCCCTGATAGCTTGTGTGCCCCCCTCCCTTGGTGGCCAGCATACAGAGAAAGTCTCAGACCTAGATGGACAAAGTGTCACTGTGTGGGGGGAGTTGGATGTACAGAACCTTCAAATCACCTCTAACCTCAAACCAAGGCTTCTGTCAAACTATCATCTCAACCAGTTCCCTTGTCGCGGTGATGCTGAGGTGTGTCGCCCAGAGCTCTCCTCGGGGAGCAGTTTGCCATCCAATGCAGCGACAGCTATTGGCTCCCTGTGTGCTGGCTTCAGCTGCAGGAACTCACCTGAAAGCCAGCATCCAACGACAGAGCACGTGACGGCCCATGTCATCCCGTTGGATGATAACCTCCCGCCCCCCCATAGCTCCTGCCTCCCTCCCACTACAGACAAGAACAATAACCTCCCCCCTGCCTCCCTCCCACTACAGACAAGAACAATAACCTCCCCCCTGCCTCCCTCCCACTACAGACAAGAATGATAACCTCCCCCCTGCCTCCATCCCACTACAGACAAGAATGCCCAGTCAACACGCTATACACCAAGCCTATCCCACTGTCAGTCCGGGAACCTGCTTTAACCGGCTCCACAGCTGTGAGCAAGGACTATCACCCACATCCTGAGCCCGGGAGACAGGACCTCATTATGTGATGGGCTGTGGGCCTCCCCTTCTCCAGCCTTCCACTCCCTCCCCCGCTGCCCTGTCCTCAGGACCCTTCCCTAACGGTTCTTACCAAGCAGAGTTCGCCTTCCCCTTGTGTTCCCTGATGCTCTCCACGCGGCCACAGGCAAGTACCTCCTCCCCCGAAAAGCCTTCTCAGTCTCCACAGCCTAGATCCCATGCTCCGTCCCTGATCTATTTTGGGATTACGGTCACTTCCTGCCCAGAGTTCTCATGCACCTTGGACAGTGTCTGCATTTCCCTTTCAAACTGGATGTTAACTCTCTTTGGGGAGAGAGGCAGGAATGGAACTCCCTGGTGGGGACGGACAAAGGCCTCTGCCACCACTGTCATCTGAGCTCTACACAGACGTGGCTGTCAAGGAGACCACACCTGAACAAGGGCCAACAGGGGGCGCTTGTGGAGATGGGACAACCATCTCCTCTGCCTTGTGCCTCTGGGAGATCTGGGCAAGAGTCAAGGAGAGGCCACCAAGTGGGTGTCCTTTCTCAGAATGAGCAGAGAATTCGTGGTAGAGACCATTGGATTTGTGTCCGTTGGGGACACTGGGCAAACCCTCCGAGTATCTAGGCTACTGTCTCTGTATCTGGTAGATATCTCAAGGCTTGGATTAAAGCAGGTTTTCACCCTTCTTGAGAACATTCCTGCTGACCTCTGGGAATACACATGTGGTCTCTAGGTAGGTTTCTCAGCATCGGTGACAACAGGGAGTTAATGGGGTCTGGGGTCACATATGAAGCCACCCTAGAAAAGGCCAGAGAATTATGGATCCACCAGGAGAGGCCCCAAGGGGAGGAAACACCATTATGTTTTGCCCTGTCCAAGCTCACGCCACCTTCTTTGTGCTTTTCCTAACCACCCAACCCCATCTGCGCCCATGGGAATATGGGTTCTGCTTGCTCTAGGAGAATGGGGCCTCCACAATGGTGTAGTGTGTGGATCGTGTCTAGGCTCCCCCAGGGGCTGCCTGTGTTTCCAAAGAGGCCCTAAGCTTGTCTTCCGGTAGTCACAGGTCCAGGCAATGATCTGCTTCTGAGTCTGAGGCTCAGACATAGCTATTCTCCATCGTTTCTGGATATAGGCAGGAAGACAGCTTCCCTGACTCCAGCCTTCAGAGCCTTCATCTGAAGATGAAGCCCCCCCACCCTGGTGAGTTATGACTACATTAAGATACAGTAAATCTTTCTCCAAAAACAGAGCGATGGATACAGGAGAGAATTGGGCAGCAAGAGGGAAAATATTTGAAACAAAACCTATAACGATAAACCTCCCCCCTCCATCGAGTATATCCGCCCATTTAATTTATTCAGTTAATAAAACATATTCCCCAGAGGGGGACAGGCAGAGGTAAGCTGCAAGCCAATCTGCCTGTGTGAGCGGGGTATGTATGTGTATCTCATAACAATAAAAAAAAAAGAGTAATTAAGAGATGTACTGAAGTGTGTAGAAATCCTGAAGGACACTGAAGATTCCAATTCAAGTTAGTGTCCTTGGTGCAAATTTAATTCAATTGGGAATAGATAAATAAAAATAAAGGAAAAAAAACAAACACAAATTCAGAACAGATGTTAGGCAAGCTATTTTTTTCACAGTAAGAATCATAAACATGAAAAACAGCCTATAAGGCAAAGTTGTTGATGCCAACAGCATCAAGCTACTAAATAAATAGTTGGATGGTACCACAGGGACAAAGGAACATTAAAATAGTCATTTGGCTGTCCCTAAATATTTTTGCCTACATGTTACACCCAGGCATATTTTTGGATACTAGAGATTTTGTGTGTGTGTGTGTGTCTGTCTGTCTGTCTGTCTGTCTGTCACATTACATTTATACGATACATATAGACCATACATTTACTTGAAAGTATATTGCAAAATCACCTGCCACACAGGCTCAGAATATAAATAGAGAATTTGGTGAAAGCATTATCTCTTCTGTAAAGACAATAAAGCCAGAGGAAGAACCCAGTGCCAGCAAGGGATGTGTTATCCTGAGCTGGGTGTTAGAAAGCCCAGATGTGTGACAAGAAAGGATAATTTTAATAAGAGATTCACACATAACTGGGGAGAAACATGGGCAGGGAGGATTTTTTTTTTTTTTGGTTTTTCGAGACAGGGTTTTTCTGTATTGTGTTGGAGGCTGTCCTGGAACTCGCTCTAGAGACCAGGGTGGTCTTGAACTCACAGAGATCCACCTGCCTCTGCCTCCCAAGCTCTGGGATTGAAGACGTGCGTCACAAGCCACAAATACCCGGCCAATTTGTAAGCATAAATAATAGTATTTTAGAAATGGAAGTAAGCTTCAAGATGACCACACACACACACACACACACATTCCATAGCTAAGAAAATTAGTACAAAAAATGGAGACAACTGGATGGGAGGCACTGTCTCCTGAAAACACCCCTCACTCAGGAGGACGCACTAGGACAGATATTCTCCAGAGACACAAAAATGAGAGGACCCGCATACCCACACTCGTGACTCAAGGACCTAACCTTGAGCAGCTGTGGAGGGGCTCATGATGCGTATGGTCTCCCCCAAGACGCCCATCGACTACAAGAAGGCCTTTGAAACTCAGGCCAGAGGAGTAAAGAAATCAGTTAGACTCCTGCATCCTTGATGGTCCTGCCTCGGGGCTCTGGGTGACCTCTGAGTCTCACATCGCTGGACCTGTGACATAAGCAGGTACGCATGTATGTTGAAAAGGTGACCAAATGGCTGAAAGATTCATGGGACTTCCTGACTGAGGATATCTGGGTTAGAACCATATGATGGCTTCTAATCCAGTGTTCTTTCTTGTGCCCTAGGCTGACCCCAGGCAAGGGCAACCCGTGGGAGCAGGACAAGAGGAGGCAGACCAGCAAGAACCCAACCGACGCCCCGTATGGATGGAGCCCCACTAACCTGTAAATACATCCTCCCTTCCTTCATCCTTCATAGTATACATAGTGTACTTCAATGGGCTAACTCCCGACAAGGACCATTATGAGCCCTATTCCTCTAAGCTCTGATTTTAAGAGGAATCTCTCCCTGTTCTTTTTGTCTTCTAGAAAATACCAGTTACCCAAATTAGCAAAGTAAGATCTTCCTAACATTTGAGGTTTCCTTAGGGATAAATTTATTGCAGAAAAAAAATATGTACCAAGCAGCAATGTATTTAGTCACTCAACAAATATTTAGCAAGCACCTGTTACATGCCAGACACTGCTCTAGGTGCTTGGAACAACAGGATTGGCAAGAGGTAACTTCTTGTAATGGAGTTTACATCCTACCAGGAGGACTTGACAATGAACAATCACATTGCCTGATATAGAGGCAAACATCCTAAGGCAGGCATGCTTACAGATTCCGGTGAGCATCGAGAGGAAAAGCGGGGTGACAGAGCTCCAGATTAACGAAGAGATTCATACATGGTGGCTGGTCTTTTAAAAAATGTTTAGATTAGCATACAAAGTAATGGCTTCACCCTGGCATCTTCATGCATACGTGTCATTTCCGTTTGTTTTCATTCGTACCCTTCCTTGACTTCCTCTCTCTAGCCTGTCCTTTTCCCTCTCCATTTGCCCCCTCCTTTCGGTATTCTATCAAACGTATCCCATCACCCTCTCTGCCTCCCATCTTTTCTTCCTTTTCTGAAATCCCCTTTCTAATGTCACGACTTACAAACACACACACATAAACACGCACGTGTTCACATATTTGTATACTTTAAATCTAGGTTCTGCCAGAGAGAAAAACGTGCTGCAATTGTCTTTCTGTGTCTGGCTGATTCGCATGCTGTCATGATTTCTAGATATGTGTGTCTTTCTGCGAGTATCATGGGATATCTTCATAGTGATAGAGCCTCATTATCAGCTTGGTTGTGTTGAGAAACACCTAGGAGATGAATAAAGCTCACCATGGAGTGCGTGTGTATGTCAGGCGCTGCCACGGGACCATGAGGACTCTGTCTTCATGACGGCTTCATCTATTTATGGATTCAGGGTTTTAATAGGCTACTGAGAGGTGATGGAAGAGGCAGACTTGGAGCCTTGATGGAGGAAATGTCAGGATGGTGCCCTTGAAGGCGTATACTTCCCTGGACCCTCTCTGTCTTTACTTCTTGGCCACCATGAGTTGAACAGCCTCCTGACACCGCCATGCTACGCTGCCTCCCCCCCAAAAAAACTGTCCACAATGGTCTGAAACCTTGTAGCAGTTACTTTCCTGTTGCTGTGAGAGAAAATACCAGGGCCAAGACAACCTCTATAAGAAAGAGTTTGTTTTGCTTTATGGACCCAGAGGGAGAGTCCATAACGGTACAGGAGGCACTGCAACAGACAGCAAGAATATGAAGCTGGGAGATAGTATCCCAACAGCTAACAGGAAAGAGAGAGAGAGAGAGAGAGAGAGAGAGAGAGAGAGAGAGAGAGAGAGAGAGAGAGAGAGAGAGAGAGAGAGATACAGAAGTGGATTAAGGCTACAAATGCTCAAAGCCTGCACCCTGTGACATACTTCCTCCAGCAAGGCTGTGTGTCCTAAAAGTTCCATAGCCTCCCCCAAGCAGAGCCACCAACCAAATGTTTCATACACGAGCCTTTGGGTGACTTTCCTCATGCAAGCCACCACATCTCCCACACCGGGGGCTAGGTTGCTTCTCCTGGCATTCTGCCACAGCAGTGGGACAACAAACTAATGCACTACACAACCCAGCGCACAGTGCTCACCACCTGCATGCCCTTTTCATCTTAAAGACACGTGTTTCTGAATCATATGATCAGCTCAGTCAAACGCAAGTATTGTAGGGTGGTTACAGGAGAGACTATACCGGAAGGCTGTATGCTACTCTTAAACTGCAACGTTTGATACGTCGATGGATCCTGGGAACAACGACAAGCATTTCTTACAGTCATAAAAGCAAAGAAGGTAGCCCACAGTGTCATCTCACAGGTTCACAAAGAGCCTCATAAAAGGATGTCCAGAGGAGGGGTTTCTGGAACAGTGGATAGGCGGGAGACTCAGGCGTTAGGCAGCAGGGAAATGCAGCAGATTTGATGAGAACACAGCGACACGGTGGAGCTTAAAACAACGGGAGAAACCTAAGGACCAGCATGAGACCTATGACGTCACAGTGGTTACGCATAGGCCATGCAAACACACACACTGAATCCTGTGGGGTGACTGGCTACGGGGGGGGGGGGCTGGGGAAGGGAGGAGAGAAGTTCAAAGGTCTAAGGGAGCAAACACACAAGCAGGGCGCACAGGGGAGTGTCCCCAGCCTCTGCTGCAGCACAGACAGTCCCTCCCCCCAGGGCACTCACTGCTTGTCCTGATAATTCATTAACTCTTGCCAGTGTTTTCCTGCTGCTTGTTTGCCTAGTTTTTTTGTTTTGTTCTCATGTAGCCCAGGCTGGCCTCCAATTCTCTATGTAGCAGAGGATAGCCATGAACTCTTGATCCGACTGCACCTGCCTCGGATCACAGGAATGAGCCAGCGTATCTGGCTGGTGGTTGTTGTCTTAAATGGAATTTTACTATTTATTAGGTCTGTATTTCTGGCCAAAGCCTATTTTTCATGTTTACCCCCAAAAGATATTACGGGACACAGAAGAGTCCTGTGTTCAAATGAACAGTTTACCTTAAGTGTCTCACTTGGAGAGTTTCCCAGGAAGCTCACTGAGATAGAGCAGTAACGAAGTCTGTGTTCCTTGGACTCTGTACCCATCATTTGACTAAGGAGGGACCCTTCCTTTTCATTTTCTATGTAGCAACTATTATTGTTGGTGGAAGTGGTCCAAAGGACACGCTTTGAGAAATAGCTCATTAGACCACCAAGGGATGAGACAGAAGATTCCCGAGTCCAGACACATCCCGAACTCCCATCATTCCCCTCTCTTTCCCTCTTGTAGAATGTGATCCTTAGAGGGTTTCACTCCTAAGTCACGCTGGACCCACTGCCATTAACAACTCTTCTACTGTCTAAGTGTCTGTGCCCCCAAAATTGTATGTTGGCATCCTAATTCCTTAGGCAATTCTATTCAGAGGTGGGTCCTGGGAGGGGAGGGGCTATGTCATGAGGACAGAGTCCTTTTAATTACCTCTTCCACCATGTGTGGACACCCATGAGTCAGAAAACTAACACTCACCAAATACCTGACCTGCTGGTGCCTGGATATTGGGCTTCCCAGACCCCAGAGCCACGGGAAGTAAGTTCCTATTGTTTGTGAGTTACCCATGGCGTTTTGCTATGGCAACCTGGGTGGGCGGTGACGCATCCCAGTTGATTGTGGCAAGCATGAAACCCTTCTCTCCTTTGCCCCATTCAGTGTCTTCACTATGGCATCACCACTTCATCCTTAGAACGGGAACCAGCGCGTTCCTTGTGGCCGTGGCAAAAGGCAGCCTAAGGGAGCAAGACTTGTTCTGGCTCACAGTCTGAGGCTGCAGCCCCCCCCACCCCGCGCCCCCGCCCCAGGCAGGGAAGGGTTGGAAGCAGAAGCTTGGGGATGCTCACGTTGCGTCCAAAGTCAGGAAGCAAAGACTGGTAAGTGCTGGTGCTCAACTCACTTTTTGTTTATTGTTTACTCCAGGGCCCCGAGCCATGGGATGAAGTCACCCGCATCTAGGGTGTGTTAAATCTCCCCATCAATCAACACATTCTAGAAACCCCCTCATTGACATGCCCGGTAACAATCAGTGCTCACCACCACAGGACTCGAAGCCAACGTCAACGACTCAAGCTGATCCACCTTCATCCTTACATCCCAAGTCTTGTTGGAGTCTGCTGTTTTTCCTACGGAACATTTCTTACTTAAAGTTTTCCGTCTGTTTTCTTCCCTATTTCTGGTGATTCACCAAGGCTAATAGAATGTTCTCTATGGATATCCAACATCACATTTCCCCAGCACACTATTATCGCCTACTCTCTCCATTCTATCCTAGCCCAAATCTCTACACCCCTTCCAAAGCTTAGGTGCCTGGGTGCACGCTTCTCCATGGGTCCCACCGCATTTGGACACATGGAGCTAGTCAACTTCTCTCAGTGACCGTGTCTGTGCAAGCACAATGACTGCGGCTCTTCCAGAAAACAGTCGCAGGGCTGGAACAGGTGCCTAAGGACCAGCTGGGAGACCACACTGGCAAGTCTCCTGACCTGACCTTGACAGTCAGACCAAGGAGCTGCTCCTGTACAAAGAAGCTGCGGAGCCCACGAACAGGAAACCAGAAGTCAGCACCAGGGAGACCCGAAGGCCCTCGTGAGCTCCCGGGGTAGAGGAAGCTTCGAGACGGGAAGGCAGAATGGAAAAGTAGACACATGAATTGTAAAGACTCTGACAGAGAGGAAACACCAGGAGGAGCTTGGGATGAGGGCTGCTGGGGATGGATTAAAATAAACTGAATATACGTCACTGCAGAGCTCTGGATGATAATGGGCCAGCTTTGTTTTATATTTTTCAAGTGCTAACAGGTTCACAGCCAGTGGGTTTGGAGGGGGAAATCACTGGGTCTTATGTTCCTATCAGAAATGCAGGGTTCACACTGGCCAGTTGGGTTCTGGGGGCTTTTTGCAAGGAAAAGCATACATTTTGTCTGGAGTTCATTTTCAAGGTTTGACAACAACGATGATTACCACCACCTAATGTTGGTGGAAAGAGAAGGCTACACATTGCTACAAAATATCCTTCAAAGATAAAATGATGGGGTTGCTATGGAAAACGGCAAAGAAAGTCACCCCCCTCCCTGAAATAAAAGCAGAATTTCTATCTGATGCTGTAATTCTCCCTTTAGGATGTATGCTATAAAAACCGAAAATAGGAATTTGAAAAAGTATTCGCAAATGCCAGTGATCCTGGTTGCATTATTGAACTGAAAGCAGGGTCTTGGTTATAACGTGTACACCGGTGATCATGGCTCATTATTTACTGCAGCCAAATGTCAGAAGCAAGCCAGTGTCCGTCGACGGCTGAACAACAAAAACATGGAGGATATAACCAGTGTACTAATTTTTGTTTCCTGGAAAAGGAAGGAGATACAAGATAGATGAGCCCCGAGGACAGCTTCCTAAGTGAACTAAGACACACAGTGTGTGATTCTGTCAAGGGAAGGAAAACGCAACGGTAGTTGCCAGGGGAGGGAGAGGGTAGCAGCAGGCAGTATCTGCCAGGAACACATTTCAGTATGTGGGATGAAGCACCTGGCGTATGAACATACGGACTACACAGCTCTGTAAACATGCTTACAGCACTGGCTGTACAATGAGAAATGATCAAGACGGTAAACTTTGTCTTGTATACATTTTATCACAATAGGGAACGTCCTTTAGTTAAGTGGCCTTTATGTCACTTTCAGTATCTGGCTTTGTCTGTGAAGCAGGGATCATCAATCCAAAAGCCATTCTTCCAGACAGGATGTGTGTACGTGAAAGCTCACCCTTTCCCCAACTCAGATAAAACCACTGCTCTGTGAACGCTACCCATGGCATCTTGAGTCCGGAAGCCCTGGCAGTCACCAACAGGTTTGGATGTGAGACGGTGGGATTCAGGATGCTGAAGAGGGAAATGAAGTATCCCATTAGGCTCCACGTCGAGGAGGACAAGGAAAAGAGACTGTTCTCTTCTTGGGTGGTTTGGAGAACCCTGCTCTGGCAGGGAATACAAACACGGAAGGGAAGCACCTGAAAATCTTTTGGCTGCTTGGGGGAGGAGTCAGGGCTGTTGACAGTTGAACACGTCTGTGGACGGACAGTGAGGCAGAGGTGAGACCCAGCAGAATTAGAGGCAGCCTTGAAAGAAAAGCAGATTCACTCAGAGCCACCTTTTGGGTGGTTCATACGCCCCAGGCACTCCATTAACAACGCACAACGCTGCATGGAGGGAGGGGGCAGGAGATCCTTCCCACAGTCTCTGGTTGGGAAAGACGGTCTCCACCCGGTATCAAACTGCCGAATCCCCACGCAACAGAGTGGGACCTCGAGGTGATGACAGATGTCATAGCTCAACAGACCACAATCTGTACATCCACCTTGCATGCAAGGGCAGGCAGCCCATCAGCCCCCGCTTCAGGGCATACTCTACTAGGTTCCTCTTTAGGAAAGGCAACAATAAGATCACCAGCTAACAGCGCTTCCCTAGTGGTTAATGTGGGATCTGGAGACGGTGTCAGAGAGCGAAACCTTTATAGAGTGACCCATCAGCTGAGAACTGAACCCAGGATGGAAAAGCCTCATCTTGTGGGCTGTGAAATTCCTGCAGTTGGAGGACAAGATGGAGGAGATGTCGTCAGGAAAGGGTCCTTGAGATGCAAAGAATAATCCAGGAAGTTATTTTAGCAGTTAAGTTTCTATTATCTGCCCTAGGCATGGAAGCATCATAAAACTCGGTGGTGCCTTGCTAGGGAATTGCTTTGTGCGCATAGCTGTGGAAATGTTACACATAAGACTGATCAGGGATAATTGGAATGTGTGGTAAACAAACTCTCCAAGATTCAAGGGTCCTGAAGAAGAAAGGAAGACTCCGCCCATTTTCATGAAGAGCTCGGATCACTCAGAGTTTAGTAGCATTACACATGCGTGTGATGGAGGGTGTGCGACCTTGTGTGTTTGAGCATTTAAGCCAATGCTTGCAGTTGATTTGGTTTTAGACTTTTAGATACCATGGTTCATTTTCTGCCAGTAAGCAACAAAGTTTCAAACTTTTTTTAAATCATTCAAGGGTTCCCTCTCTCCTTCTCTCCTCCTCTCTATTCCTCCTCTCACTCCTCCTCCTCCTCCTCCCCCTTCTCCTCTCCATCCCTCTCGTCTTTAAGGGTTTTATTTTGTTTTGCTGTTTTTGTGTTCTGAGGCACGGCCTGGTGGTGGTATAAGAAGTACTCCAGGGCCTAGGGCCGATTCGGATACAGGCTCGGAATCGAGTCTATACATCTGCAGCCTGGGTTGGCCTTGAACTCGTGATTTTCCTGCCTCCACCTCTTGAGGACTAGGATTACAAGTTATATGCTATCATGTCTAGATTGTTCAAGAATATCTGAGAAGTTGAAAAAGAGTCTCTGCACACAAAACAGTGATCAGAAAGGAACTTTAAGTTCTATGTGAGTGGGTGTCTTCTGCTTCTTTTAATCTACAAGTGATTTTTTTTATTATGAAAGCTAAGATGGTCTGTCCATCTTTTTGGACAGAATAGAAATGCTGTTTAATTTCTCAGCTAATTAAGGTTAAGAGCTACCAGAACCGCGTAAATATGTGTAACTCTGGAGGCTATGCAGAGGAGTTCTTGACAGGAGACATTTGCATGAAGCTCTGTAACATCGGGACTTACTTCCAGAAGAGAGACTGCCTTGACAAATGTCACAGTGATTCATGACAGTGTTATGTAACTCTATTATGCATTTTGGGTTGAACAACTTGGATTTGTTGCAGGTACAATTCAATTAAGTGTGGAATTTTTTTAAACTGATTAGCTAGAGACAGAGCTTTTTACAAAACTCTAATGTGAGTCAGTCTATTGTTTGGGAACACATCTGTGCAGCTTGTCATGTGGGGATAAAGGAGTTATTGATGCTACCTCTGATTGTCACCGTTGGAGGATCCCACTCCCTCCCACCCTGAGACTGATACGCACTTCTGTGCTGTGGATCTGGGTACAGACATCAAAGAGGACAAATGGGAAAATCTGTAACTGACTCCCCAGTCTCTGATGCTCCCCTTCTCCCTCCAAGCTGCTCCATCCTCCAAGGCCCCACTATGGACCAGAAGTTACATGATCCCAGGAACGCAGGAGGGGACCAGTTTCCTTGGTCTGGATGGGCTGCAAAGGGACAGGCATTTTCCTCACAGGTAGCTGGGTTCTGAGTTTGGGTTGATACCATGCTCTGAGTCTCAGAACTGAGTCTGCATATGTGATTCATCCCTGGGCTCAGAGCCCATCTTCCGTTCCACTGACTCCCCTTACAGGGCTCAGAGACCTCTCACTGAGTCCTAATGGCCAAGACAGGCTTCCTCGATGGCTGACTCCTTGACTGCTCACCAGGGCACTGTCAAGTGACCACCTTCTCTGGGGGCAGCCTTCTCCTGCACACTCCACTGTGGCCAGAGCTTACAAGAACACGGAGTTTCTACTTCTTACTCTCCATGTGTGTACAGCCTGTCACCTGCAGGCTGCATGCCTCCTAAGATAACTAGGAAGGCAGCCAGGCACATTTGTACACCAGAGCATCATACTGTAATGTCCAAAGGTTGGACACCTGTGGAACACTGCACATTACCCGCAAGCTGGAGCCATCTTCCTGTCCAGAGCTGCATCTGTTTTCCATCCCTAATTACCCCCACTGAAAGGGTGGTTTCTAGGTCACTCTCTCTGCTGTCCCATTTCCCCGAGAATATATCAGCCACGCTATGCTGAGGCAGGAAAGCCACACAGATTCCTTGGATAACTTTACCTAACGCAAAATAGCTTAGATATCCAAAATTGTCAAGTGATACATTATTTCTGTGAACTTCTCAGCTGAAGAGTTTCTGGGCTAGGACTGAAAAGTGATTTCAATAATAACGGAAGGCGTGGTTTCGAAGATTGGAAGGATGATGCTGTTGGGCTGGCCCTGAGTCAGGTGGGTGAGCGCCGTCTCCAGAGGACCAGTGCTGCCACTTGGATCTGCTACAGCTGTCGACAGTGGACTCTTGCTGACTTTGTCTGAGCTTTCTCAGAATCTTAAATCCCCAAGGGGTAAACGCACCACACACACACACACACACACACACACACACACACACACACACTTTTTCTAACATAAACTGGAAAGAGTTGAGTCATCACCAGCTGGAGGCTGCATAGTTCCTGTCTGGAAAGGACTTTCAGATATCACATGGTCCTTTGCTTTTGAACTAGGGGCCTTGACACACTAGTGGTTGTGCAGGTTGGATTTTTGTCAACTTGACACGAGCGGGAGTCATCTGACAGAGCCACCACTGGGCAAGATGTCCTGGGCGCTGTTAGAAAACCGGCTGAGCAAACCAGGAAGCAGCGTTCCACTTTGGCCTCCATGTCTCTGCCCTATGTTCCTGATCTGACTTCCCTTTACGATGGACTGGAAACTGTAAACAGAAAGTTGCCTTTGGTCGTGGTGTTGGTTACAGCAGTAGAAAGCCAACTACTGCAGGGGCCATAAAATCAGCCTGGTGCCTGGTGAGAAGTCTGCCTTTGCCTTCTTCCTCAGGAAGCATTCCCGGTGGCTCTGCACAGCAAAGAAGGCAACCTTTTACAAAACTTGTGTTTCCTCTTTGTGTGAGTGTGAGCGCTCACACGTGCCCACGCACAGGCATGAGTCCCGGATCCCAGTGGTCAGTCTCTGCTTACTGGGATTCATAATTAAACGGAATGTCAAAGTCACTGATCCAGTTCAACTCTCTCATTTACCTCTAAGCAAACAGATGGAAAGTGAATGATTGGCCTGGATCCATTAACCTAACAAGAGGTGGTTAGGAAGTGTGGAAACTGGGATTTTACACACACACACACACACACACACACATACAACGACTCTAGCATATTCTGTTGAGTGCTTCTACTCAAAGAGTGGATTAGTATACTTTTGTTCCTTCTGAGTATCAGTCACAAAAGCTGGGACACAGTAGTCATCTAAATACAAAACAGCATGCTCCATGGCTATTGCTACATGGAACCAATGTAGATGCCCAGCAAGAAATTTATGGTCAAAAAAAAGAGAAGGGAAACAACTCAAGGTAATTGGAGAGGGGAGGGAGACAAAGGTATCATATATGTGCAGCATCTAGGGGTGTGTGTGTGTGTGTGTGTGTGTGTGTGTATGTGTGTATGTGTGTGTGTGT